GCCCACGTGACTTGAAGGCGGGCCCTTAAAGCACAACCACGCAGCCTATCAGAAGAGGGGTTGGGGGCGGTGCGGAGGACCGGATCAAACCACCCTGTACCAAGATGACCTGCATACAGGACTCAAAAACAAAAAAACCCAACACCCCCAACCCATTGGGGCCTTTTCGGCTAGGGGCTTTCTGTACCTCCTACCCTGGGATCTGTAGACCAATTCCAAGAGAAGTTTGCACCGCATTTCCGTACATCGACTACAGAAACTAGCTAACTCGCACAGAACTTGGGAGATCCATGTCCTCACGTGGTGAAACCAAAAGGTAAGGTCTTTGATGTTAAGTGGACTTTGAACCGTAGCCCATTTATAGTACAGACGCCGTAGCTGGCGCCTTTAGTCTCAGGTATTTAGGTGAATCAAGAGGATGGTGATTTAGAGGTTAATCTCTCCAACGATCAAGACCCTCACCCACAAGCTTAAAAAAAAAAAAAAAAAAGGTTAATTCGGGTCTAGAGGTGTGTTTAGTTTATAAAATTCCCTGAGTTCAATATTCAATCTTACATTCGAGAAGCAAAAACAAGCAACAACAAAACAAAACCGGTGGCAGTTCCTTTGAAGCTGCTCACTTTCTAATAAAGGAGAAACACCAAGGCAATCAAAATAACAATCCCTTTATTAGGAAAGCTGGGACCATAGGAGAAAACTGCTGTCCAGCCTCGGGACTTTCTTCTTCCAGTCCGCCACGCCACACAAAAGAGCCTCTCTAGTCAACATTGCCCTTCCCTCAGTTTCCACGGTACAGGGAGATCGTTTAATTTTATTTCCCATGATGAAAATTCTGGTTGAAGGCTTTTCATTGGGATCAGTGACACTTAAAGATTAAATTACATCACATGCACCCCTTTTGGGTGTTTTGCCATCGTGTATGTTTGTGCACCACATGCATACAGTGCCAGCCAAGGCCAGATGGTGTTGGACTGCTTGGGACTAGAGTTGCAGACAGGTTCAGCCCCCATGTGGCTGTTAGGAATCGAAGGGGTCCTCTGGGAGAATAGCCAGTGCTCTGAGCCATTTCTCCAATCCCTTAAACTTAACTATCTTAATGAATGCCACAGATCAAGCCAGAAAGGCCTAAGGAAGAAAGGGTCCTTGAGGAAAAATTCTTAGTGTTTCATACTCTGACATCTAATATTAGAGTTTATAGTCTGTGCTTTGCAGGCTCACTAGGAGACATAATGAAACCACAGACTGGTGATATCCAGGCGTTGACTAGCAGTTTATATGCTGACCCAACCTTGGAAGGATACCATTTCTACCTCTATGCATGAGATCACTCCCTGGGAGAAACACTTGGCTAGGACAGAACAGCCCTTCCATAGAATGAATGCTTCATGGTTCCCTGGACACACGCTTCTTCAGAAATCAGAAGCAGGCACCCTGCCCCAACCCAGGCACAGCCAAATAGGAAAAAAAAACAAACGGCCACAGCCTCAGGCAAGGATTGTGGTTACTGCTGGAATTGGGCCTCAGAGGTGCCAGAAATTGACAGAAGAAGCAAGAACAATGCAGGATCCTATTTGTCCTTCTTGTTTTCCCCATCTGGCACAGCAGTGGGAGTAGAGACCACAGGCTTCTCTTCCGACACATTGTCTCCACCCTTTGACATCTTTTTGGCTCGTTGGTATAGCTCATTCAAATTGAATTCTCGAATCACATTCTCCTATGCAAAAGAGATGAACACATCAGGCACTGGGTGGGAAGGTAAAGTTCAGGGCTTGAGAGTAGGAAGTATTTAACTAAGCACAGTCTAGAAACCAGAGGAATCAGAGGGCAGAATCTGCCCCAACCTAACTTTTCTTTGGTATTTAAGTGTCCATTAGAGGCCAGTTTTTGTGCCAAGAATTGTACCTAGATGCAACTGTAAAGCAATCCTATGAGCAAGGTGTTACTACCTCCAATTTACTGAAGAGAAACCTAATTGCTTACAAACTACAGGCACCTCACAGACCAAATCTTATTTATATGGTTTTCCTCAGTATTAGCAGCAAGCATATAACAAACTAGGTGACATATAACTTACTAGGTGACATCTGATAACTAATCTACACCCTTAAAAACAGTGGGCAAGTGGCAGAATTCAGAATTAAACCCAGATTAAGTATAAAGCCCATTCACTGTTCATCCTTTTCCAAATCATTGCCCATTTTTTCATGTACCTCAGAAAAGGTCCAAGAGACAGCTCGTCCTTTCTTGTCTATCTGTGGCCGACGAATTACCTCCTTGCCACCTTGGAACAGGATCAGGGTAGGGAGTTGTTTGGTGAGTGGTGACGTGCTCACTTTGTACCTAGAGAGCCCAGAGAGGACTTTGTACATGCAGCTGTGTCCATCATTTAAATCACTCTAAGGAATTCTCAGCTCAGACCCTCTGCCCAGGCATCCACATACCGTGTGCCAACATCAGTATAGCGTCCAACATCTACCTTCCCAAAATTCAGCCCTGTACAGTTGTACCTACAAAAAAAAAAAAAAAATTAACATACTGCAGAATATAAGGATAGATCTGGAAATATAGATACCCAAGCAAGAAAGGGAGAAACAACTTTGGTTATGTAAAATTAGGCCAAAGGAAGGAAGTCACAGCATTTCTATTTTTGACATGCTGCACTCTACATACTTACCTTTAGAAGTTTTTTTTTATATTTATTTTTTAATTTTTGTGCATTTTATTTTGCCTGCATGTGTGTCTCTGTGAGGCTGTCAGATTTTAGAGTTATAGACAGTGTGAGCTGCCATGTGGGTGCTGGGAATTGAACCCAGGATGTCTGGAAGAGCAGGCAGTGCTCTTAGTCGCTGAGCCATCTCTCCAGCCCTCCCCACACCCCATACTTACTTGAGGGACAGGTCAGCATAGATGGGAGCAAATGACTGACAATCATTAGACCAGTTGGCAAAGAACTCCACAATCCAAGTGACCCTCTTGTCCCGCTCCAGTTCTTCCTGCCACACAAAGGGAAGAGAGACTAGGGTGATACAGCTGGCATCTGAGAAGGTTCAGACCTGTGACTAACCCTTCCCCTGGGCTTCCCCTTCCCCACAATGAACCAGGACCCCGACAACCTCTTCGGGTTTGTTTGTTGGTACCAAAGATTGAATCCAGTGCCACATACATGGGAGGCAATTGCTCTACCATAAGCAAAATGACCATTTTCTTTTCTTTTCTTTTCTTTTTTTTTTTGTTTTTTTTTAGAGACGGGGTTTCTCTGTGTAACTTTGGAGCCTATCCTGGCACTCGCTCTGGAGACCAGGCTGGCCTCGAACTCACAGAGATCTGCCTGCCTCTGCCTCCCCAGTGCTGGGATTAAAGGCATGCGCCACCAACGCCCGGTTTTTTTTTTTCTTTCTTGAGACAGACAGGGTTTCTCTGGGAAACTGCCCTAGCTATCATGGAACTAGCCTGTAGACCAGGCTGGCCTCAAACTCAGAGATACCCCTGCCTCTGCCTCCCAAGTGCTGAGATTAAAGGTGTACACCACCATGCCCAACTGTTATTTTTTTTTATTGTAAAATACTTGGTATTATAAATTTTCAAAAATACAGGGCTGGAGAGATGGCTCAGCAGATAAAAGCACTGATCTTCTTTTTAGTTTTTCAAGACAGGGTTTCTCTGAGTAGTTTTAGAGCCTGTCCTGGAACTCCATTTGTAGACCAGGCTGGACTCAAACTCACAGAGATCCGCCTGCCTCTGCCTCCCAAGAGCTGGGATTAAAGGCGTGGGCCACCAATGCCCAGCCAACCTAAAGTTTTTCACATGTGCCCACTTACAGTCAGTTTTCTCTTTCCAGACTAAAGACTGAGGGTTGACACCAAGGACCTTCATTTTACCCACTGAATCTTTTTTTTTATTTTTAAGTTTATTTATTTATTATTATTGTGTATATGCCATGGTGCACATATAGAGGTCAGAGGACAACTCTGTGGCATGGGTTCTCTGCTTCTACCTTTACATGGGTTCTAGGGACCTAGTTCAGGTCGTCAGGGCTCATGTGGCAAACATCTTTTCCTGGTGAGTCATCTCGCCAGCCTACCAGTCTTTCTTTTGAGACAGAATCTTACTGTGTAGCTGGGGCTACCCCAGAACTCACTACATAGCCCACACTGGCCTCAAATATACATCAATCCACTAGGTAATGGTAGCATACACCTTTAATACCAATACATGGGAGGCAGAGGATCTCTTCTTTCTAGGCCAGCCTGGTCTATGGAGGCAGTTCCAAGATTGTCAAGACTACACAGAGGAATCTTGTCTTGAAAAACAAAAATGAACAAACAGACAAATGGAAAAAAAAAAAAAAGAAAAAGAAAAAAACATTCTTGTAGCAATCCTACCCCAGCCTCCAGGATAATAATTATGCACTACCAACCCCAGCTACCAACTTCCATCCTGAGGCACCATCTTTATGAATGAAGAGCACAAAACCACAAAGCAGGACCCAAGAAACAGAAAGCAGAATACTCACTTCAATGGTTTTATCACTGAAATACTTGATGTACTCAGGACCCATGTACAGGGGGGGCTTGCAGGTCATCAGGAACACTGGACACAGAGAAAAGATGTCAGAGATAATATACAGGGCCTTCTACATATTTACTTGCAAATTCTCTCAGGAATTTCAGACATCAAAGAATACACATGTGTATGTAGATCACTAGTACATATTCCTCTTAAAATACTGTCTAAGTAAATACTTACCAACTACATATAATTAAGAGCTACAAATATGGGCTGGAGAAATGGTTCAGTGGTTAAGAGCAGTGACTGTTCTTCCAGAGGACCTGGGCTCAATTCCCACCACCCACATGACAGCTAACAACTATCTGTAACTCCAAGACCTGACACCCTCACACTCACATACATACATGCAGGCAAACCACCAATGCACATAAATAAGAGTAAATATATAATTAAAAAAAAAAAAGAGCTACAAATACAATTCATTAAGTATAAGATAAAGATTGGAATCTGGTCCTTAAAAATCAAGCCTTTATCAAAAAACTTTACTATTTCAAATTATTAATCATAGAATTGTATTGTAATAAAAACCATTTTCTCACCTATGCAGAGTGTGAGGTACAGTAGACCCATTCGAATATCCAGGCGGAAGAAAAGAATTGCATTGGCCACTTTACTAAACATGAAGATGTTGCCTACATGTTGCTCCACGGTGACTGGAACAGAGATATACCACAGTCAGGCTGGGCTGAAGGCTCCCACTCTTTGGCCCTCTTCCTGGGGTACTTTGACATGGGAACAGGAGGGAGAGGATACAGAAGACCAAGGTCAAACTAGCCCCTGGCATGAAATGTGGAACTAGTTCATTAAACAGTGCTCATCCAATAACACGAAAAAGGAGCTTCTCCAGGGCATGAGTCCTAACCCCCAGTCAGAGCAAACAAAGCAGGTGAGCTTACTGGATCTGCGGTTCTTCATCATCACAATGGCACTGAGGAACATCAGGATCTCCACTTCTCTCTGGAAGATAATCAGAGACAGCAACTTGGTGAATGAAGCTGGTGGGGTAGAGGACAAAACATGAAATGCAAAACAAGAGAAGAGATCCAGCTTGGGTTGGTGATAAAGAAGTAACTGGAGCTGACTAAGGTGTAGTGGGACCAACAAATCGAAAGAGCTAGGTTTAGAGTCTCCTCTTGGCAACTGAATGGTATCTTTCAGCAAATCCCCTACCTTTGAGTTTCCTCTTCTTTCTTTTTCCTCCCTCCCTCCCCTTTTATCCTTGAGACTTCCTCTCACTATCTTGCCCAGGCAATTCCCCTGCCTCAGCCTCTAAAGTATCTGGACTGTAATGGTACATCACCATGTCCCACTGGTTTTCTTTTTTTAACTACATTTATTTATTTTGTGTGTGTGTGTACCCCTCCATGTGCCACAGCACACATGTGATGTTAGAGGATAACTTGCCAGACTCAGTTCTTTCCTTCTGCATCACTGTGTAGTCCAGGCAGGCTTCAAACTCACTGTGCTCCTCCTACCTCAGCCTCTTGAGTGCTGGGTTCTCTGTCATTTGGTTTTGAGGAAGGATCTTACTATATAGTTTAGGCTACAATGTTCTGTCTTTATTTTTTTTTTAAACTTTGTTTTGTTTTCGAGAATGTTTTGTAGGTCGTGCTGGCATCCAACTCCCTATAATGGTTTTCTTTACACTTGTGATCTTGCCTCCACCTTCCAAATGCCAATATTACAGATGTATACTACCATGCTGCACAATTACTATTATTAATATTATTACAATTTCTTTTCAGTGAGTCTCAATTTTTTGTTTGTTTTTTTGTTTTTTCAAGACAGGGTTTCTCTGTGTAGGTTTGGAGCCTATCCTGGCACTCTCTGGAGACCAGGCTGGCCTTGAACTCTGTGAGATCCGCCTGCCTCTGCCTCCCGAGTGCTGGGATTAAAGGCGTGTGCCACCAACGCCCGGCGAGTCTCAAATTTTTATTGTTGTGCATCTACAATATACACAAAGGGCGAGTCCACAGGTAGTAGTGCACACATTTGAACCCAGCATTCTGGAAGGTAGACACAGGAGAAATGCCAAAAGCCCAAACCTATTTTGGACTACATAACAAGTTGCAGGTCAGTAAGGACTAAAGGCACAGCTCCACTGTTGCTGGCACAGCCAGAGGAGTTCCCCTAATCTTTTAGGAGACCATTCAGACCAAACTAGGACTCATAGTTTCATTAAATGAGTTTCACAGCTGGCCAGTATAAAGAGTTTGGAGTGTATGTGCTCGATTTTAAAGAATTATTTTTATTTTATATGTATTAGTGGTTTAACTGAATGTATATAAGCATACTGTGTGTCTAGTACTCATAGAGACCAGAAATCAATGCTAGACTGGAATTATGGATAGTTGTGACCCAACATGTGAGTGTGAGGAACCTCACCCAAGTCCTCTAATAGAGCAGCCAATGCTCTTAATCACTAAGCCATCTCTCCAGCCCCCAGAGTTGAAGTATTCTTAAAACTATTTCAATATTCAATTTTATTAGTTTGTAATTATGTATGTGTTCAGATATGTGCAATTGAGTGAAGGTGCCTGAAAAAGACCCCTAAGGCTGGAGTTACAGACAGCCATGAGCCTCCTAATGTGGGCATTGGGAATCAAATTTGGATTATCAGAAGAGTATGTAAGGTTTGTTTTTGGTTTTTGACACACAGGGTTTCTCTGTGTAGCCCTGGCTGTCCCGTAACTCACTTTGTACATCAGGCTGGCCTCAATCTCAGAGACCCACCTGCTTCTGCCTCCCAAATGCTAGGATTAAAGGCATGTGTCACCACTGCCTGGCATGACAGTATGTGTTCTTAACCACCAAGCCATCTTTCTAGCCCTAAGCTCTTTCTTTCTTCCTTCCTACCTTCCTTTCTTTCTCTCTTCCTTCCTTCCTTTTGGTTTTTCAAGACAGGGTTTCTCTGTGGTTTTGGAGGCTGTCCTGGAACTAGCTCTTGTAGACCAGGCTGGTCTCGAACTCACAGAGATCTATCTGCCTCTGGCTCCGGAGTGCTGAGATTAAAGGTGTGTGCCACCACCGCCTGGCCTGCCCTAAACTATTTTAATACAGGCTTATAAGTATGTAGATTAAGGGAGAAAGAGGAGTTCAGAAAGAGTCAAGAACATGGGCACTTCATTTTCTTTACCATATTCATCTATACCATATTGGTGGGATTTGAAGTTATCTTCAAAGGGTAGCTAAGAAGGCTAAATGAAATCATATGGTGAGTCTTCTTTTTTTTTTTTTTTTTCTTGTTTTTTTGAGACAGGTTTCACTATCCCTGGCTGTTCTAGAACTCACCGTGTAAACCAGGCTGGCCTTGAATTCAGAGATCCACCTGCCTCTGCCTCCCAAGTGCTGGGATTAAAAGATTTGCACCACCACCGTCTAGCTCACAATTTATAAGGTACGACTCTAGAGCACAGGGATGGAGGAAAGTAGGGTATCTGGTGTGGTGTCCTTTTGAGACAGGGTCTCACTATGTAGTCTTGACTGTCCTGGAATATGTTATATAGACCAGGAGAGCTTACATTAAACTCACAGAGATCCACCTGCCTTTGTCTCCAGAGTGCTGGAGATTAAAAAGGCACAACACAAAGCATTTGAAAGTATAGTATCTTTAATGTAAACAAAGTTAACAATCTTTTGTTTGAGAGTCCCAGAAATGTCAGAGGAAAGAAATGAGGCATACCCAAGGTTATAGTAATAACTTAAGTCTGGGTCACTGCAATTTTTTTTTTTTTTTTTAAGTTTTCTATGTATACAGTGTTCTGTCTGCATCTATCCCTGTGGGCCAGAAGAGGGCACCAGATCTCATTATAGATGGTTGTGAGCCATCATGTGGTTGCTGGAAATTGAACTCAGGACTTCTGGAAGAGCAGCTAGTGCTCTTAACCACTGAGCTATCTCTCCAGCCCCAGGATCACTGCTATTTTAACATAAATATTTAGATAGGGAAGGAATATTAGCTCTATGTTCCACAACCTTCACAGCAAATGTTAATTGTTCTGAAATTAGTGCTTCTAAAATGGTGAGAGGCTCCCCCCTCCTCATGTTTTTGTAATCTCTGTTTTTCTATCCTCCCTGAGGATGATAGTATGTGCAGTTACAGTGGCCAGGGTAGTCGTGCGGTTGCTTTTCCACCTAAGTAATTTTGTTGAGTTAGCGATCTAAGTCGGCCTATCAGAGGGTTTTGAACAAGATTAGATAGCACTTTGTGAACGCTGTGTGACCTTGGGAAAGTCGCCCAACAACACTGAGATCAATTTGCCAAATAAATAAATAAAATAGCTACACTGCGATCAATTTGTCAAATAAATGACTAAAAGTGGTGTTTCTACTACTGGCTTGCCTGCCTTCCTCGCCGGCGCTCCAGGAAGCTTGGCATCACTGCAGAACCCTGTTTATGTGTGGAGAAACCCTGGGATCTCTCTCTCCATCTTAAACAAGGAGGTTAAGACTAGCAGCGGATTTCCATTCAGTCTGTCAGATGGTTACATCCCCAAATCTCCCCCACACTTTCATATGCACCTGCAGGGGCAGGGATGGTCAACGAGAGCTGAGGCAGGGGGCGCTCACCCAGTCAAAGTCACACGGGTTACCATCTTCGCGCTGCGTGGGGAGACCGTTGCAAATCGGCGGCAGTTTCCTCACGAGGAGGAAAGCAGCGGAGAGCAGGGCAGACAGAAGGCAATAAGGTCGAGCCAGCCATCGAGAAAGCCGCGGCACCGAGTACACCAGAGCAATCAGAGGCGCGAGGACAGCCATCTTCCTTGCCGGTTCTCTCGCAGGCTCCGTTCGGCCCCCAGCCCTTCCCTCCGCTGCCCCCCACCAGCGAGGCTTCTATTGGGCCAAATATCAGATGCAACGCCTCCGGACCCGGATGTAGATCTCTTATTGGGTGCTATGATAGATGAGAAAATGAGTTAGACAGTCTATTGGTCCATAGAGTTGTCGCTCTTCTACCTGAGTCATTTTATTGGCTGTAAGACTGCGAACTACTTCCCAAACTGTCTCTTAGAGCGACGGAAGTAACTACAGGAAGGTGGTAGGCGGGGCCTAGTGTATCCAATGGCCGGAAGCTCTTCGAGGACGAGGGTGGTACCCTGGGAAAGTACTGGCCAATGAAAGTCATAAACGCCAGATCCCGGGTAATGCAGGAGCCGAGAGTGCTATGGAGAATTTCACCGCGCTGTTTGGAGCTCAGGCTGACCCACCACCACCCCCAAGCGCCCTAGGTTTCGGGCCTGGAAAGCCGCCCCCGCCACCTCCGCCTCCTCCGGGAGGTGGCCCAGGCACGGCCCCGCCCCCGACGGCGACCTCGGCCCCTGCGGGCGCAGACAAGTCGGCTGCTGGAAGCGGCCCCTTCTACCTTATGCGGGAATTGCCCGGTGAGTAGTGGGGTCAAAAGCAGCCAATCAGGTACTGATTAGGTGACGGGTGTGGCTTTCAGCCTGCTGTGCGAGGCGTGAAGCAACGGGCGACGCGTGGCCAGCGGGCAACTCAAGTGTCAGAAGCTCTTGGGCGATTCATAACCCTAAGAGAGAGCTTGATTTCATGGGATGGGTTTGGGGTGGGTGTGACTATCTGGGACTACTTCTGGCGAAAAGTTCTGTGATCCGGTTCTCTGACCGCCGTTTGTGACTCTATAAAAACGTGAGCCATTGTTTGGAACTCGGGAGACCTGATTTAACAATTTTGGAGACGCTAAGACTTTAAAGTCTGTTAGGTGTATAGTAAGTAGCCATCCTTGTCAGGGACTCGGAGATTGACATGTTCAAAGAAAATATTAAAATTGAATTAATTCTTTCATTTATACAATTATTTGGAAATTGGGGGCGCATGGCTCAGTGGTAGGACTCTTACCTGCCATGCATGAGGTGGTGTTTTCACAGGTCTTCTCTGAGTAGATAGCATTCAAGAGTAAATAAAGTTATCGGTGGATAGAAAAGAGATACCTATAGATACAAGAGACTTGATCGATCAGGAGGCGGGGGGTGGGGGGGAAGCTTAGAATATCTAAGGGGTCGAAGACAGATTGGACTCCAGTAAAACAAACAAATCCAGTAGTGATGGGAGATAGGCAAAGACCTTTATAAGGCAATGTAGAGTGTTTAAATTTCAAATTGAAGCCATTTCAACATGGGTGCAAAATGATCTAATTTATTGATTTTCAGATATTCAGCAGCAACATGAGGAATGAAAGTAAGATAATCGGATGTTACCAGCCATTGTTCAGGAAAGAAATAATAGTTTGGACTAAATCTTAGCTGTAGAGAAGTGAATGGATAAAGGATACATGTTAGAGGCAGAGCCTACAGAAATAAATATAAAAAGAGAGAATTGGGGGTGTCTTCTACAGAGGGTATGATAGTCTGAGAGTAAGAAGTTGTGGAAAGAAAAAGTTTGAAGGCCTAAAAATCAAGTCCTCAGAAAGGGCCAGGAGAACTGGAGAGATGGCTCCAAAGTTATGAGGTTAAGGGCACTTGGTTCTTTCAGAGGACTCCAGCTTGGTACCCAGAACCTACATGAGAGCCTCACAATTACCCCTAACTCCAGCTCCAGGGAACCCAACACCCTCTACTGGGCTCCACAAGCACTCAAATAATATGTGGAATGCATTCACACATCACAACACATATACACACAAATGAGGTAAAATTAAATCTTTCAGGCTGAGTTCACACCTTCAGTCCCAGAACTCTGGAGGCAGAGACAGGTGATCTTTGAGTTCAAGGCCAACTTGGTCTATATAGGGAGCTTCAAGGCATCCAACGAGAGAGGAACAGACAGAGAGACTGTCTAAAAATTTTTTAAATAAATCATTTTTAAAAAGCATTAGGCTCAGGGGCTAGAGAATTGGCTTAGTGGTTAAGAGCCCTTGTTCTTGCAGAGGATGAGGGCACAATTCACAACACCCACTCGGAGGCTCACCACTTCTGTAGGCATCATGCATGCATATAGCAAACAGACATACACTCAGGAAAAGCACTCATACATACAAAGTAAAGTAAATCTAAAAAAAAAAAGAAATAATTTTTTTAAAAGTATTAATTAGACTTGGGAGGCAGGGACAGGCGGATCTCTGTGTGTTCAAGGCCAGCCTGGTCTATAGAGTGAGTTCCAGGACATCCTAGGCTACACAGAGAAACCCCGTCTTGAAAACAAACAAACAAAAGTATTAGGCTCAAGTGCCATGATTTTTTTGTTGTTTGTCTTGAAAAACAATCATGGCACTTGAGCCTAATACTTTTGTTTGTTTGTTTGTTTGTTTTCAAGACAGGGTTTCTCTGTGTAGCCCTGGCTGTCCTGGAACTTGTTTCCAGCCTCCCAAGTGCTAAAATTATAATTAAAAGCATGCGTCACCACCGAATGGATTGAGTGACTTGTACCATGGGAATTTAAATAATAGTTTCTTTGCATCTCTCCAACCCCCCAGTACCTAAAATCATACTCAAGGCCTTCCACATTGCTACACAAGCACACTACCACTGTTTTCTTATCTTGTTTTAACTAAGAAGTATTGTTTTCTACAATTACAGAATGTGAGTTCTAATTATTAGAATTAAGAGGCTACAGTGATGTGAACAGGATTTAGAATTTGAAGAAAGAAAAAAAAAGCCGGGCATTGGAGGCTCATGCCTTTAATCCCAGCACTTGGGAGGCAGAGGCAGGAGGATCTCTGTGAGTTCAAGACCAGCCTGGTCTACAAGAGCTAGTTCCAGGTCAGCCTCCAAAGCCAAGGAGAAACCCTGTCTTGAAAGACCAAAAGGAAAAAAAAAAAAAAAAAGGAAAAAAAATGAATTTGCATGGAATTGACATTTCAAGGTTTGTTTTCAGGAGTCATGGCTTCTGAAGGAATTTTACAAATAATTTTCAGAGAACTAACAGTTTAAATAGAAGTTAAACTCATATTTCTGATTTTTTTTCTTTTTTTTTTTTCTTTTGGGGGGGTGTTTCTAGGCAAGGCTTCTCTGTGTAGCTTTGGAGCCTGTCCTGGCACTGTGCTGTGTAGACCAGGCTGGCCTCAAACTCACAGAGATCCACCTGCCTCTGCCTCCCAAGTGCTGGGATGATTAAAGGCATGCACTGCCACCGTCCAGCTTCATATTTTTTGTTTTTATTTATTTATTTTAAAGATTTACTTATTTATTATGTATACTTTGTTCTGATATATTCTTGCATGCCAGAAGAGGGCACCAGATCTCATTGCAGATGGTTGTGACCCACCATGTGGTTGCTGGGAATTGAACTCAAGACTTCTGGAAGAGCTGCTGGTACTTTTAACCTCTGAGCATTTATTTTGTATGTATGGATGTTTTCCTGCATGTGTGTTTGTGACCATGTGTGTGGCTGGTATCTATGGAGGTCAGAAAGGAGGGCATCAGATTCCCTGCAACAGGAGTTACATACAAATGTCTGTAAGCTGCCCTTTGGGTCCTAGGAATGAAATCTGGGTCATCTGCTGAGCCATCTAACCAGCCCCCTGATTATTTACTTCCTTAATTTCTCCTCCTTTGATGCAGTCTCATGTCACCCAGGCTAGCCTCAAATTCATGTAGCCAACGATGTGCATGAGCTCGTGATCTTCCTGCCTCCACTTCCTCAGTGCTGGGATTACTGCTGTATGCCAGTTTGATCAGCTTGAACTCCTTTTTTTACAAATTATGAAAAGTACCAAAGTACCTCTCAACTGAGCTTTATACATAACCATCTGGAAGGAGAAGCCCTGGCAAGCAGATGGCAGTGCCAGTTACAAGGCATTGTAATGCTAAGGATCCCAACTGTTGCACATCACTCTTCTGAGGCATTTGACAATGAAAAGGAGGTGGAGTAAGACCTAGACCAGAAGAAAAATGCTTGTTTATTTCAGAAACATTTAGTATATAGCCTGGCACTAACTAATCATGTGAATAAGAAACCATCTCTGCCCTCAAGGGCTCACAGTTCAGAACCTGAACTTTCCCAAGTAAATAATCATAAACAAGCCACTTTATCTATATGTTGTCATAATTATCAGTGAGGTTGTAAGGTAAACATTTCTATTCTATTTGGTCTTATTTTAGCATATTTCTATTCTTTTCAAAAAAAAAAAAAAAAAAGCCAGCCACTAAATATGTTGATAGAGCATGTACAATTTTGTTTTAAATCAATGAGCCTTGAAAATAATGAAATGGAAGGCTGTTGAAATAATCAAGTGGTTAAGAGCACTGGCTGCTCTTCCAAAGGACCAGGTTCAGTTCCCAGCACCCGCATTACAGCTGGCAACTGTCTAACTCCATTTCCAGGAGATGCCAATGCACATAAAATAAAATTTTAAAAATAATGAAATGCAAAACTATTATCTCATTACCTAGATAAAAGGAAACAATGGCAGAGAGGACAGCTAGTATTAGAGTTCTAGTTGCTCATGTTGAGTAGTTCTTTCTAGGTAATACTTGGTATCATAAAGAATAAACATGTTGGTCACAAGGTAATCATAACCACAAAATCTGTTTGCCTATGGTGACTAGTCTTCCTGTTTAAAAAAAAAAGAATGCAAAGCATGGTGGCACTTACCTGTAACACCAGCACTCAGGAGGCTAAGGCAGGAAGTTGCCACAAGTTTGAGGTGAGCTAGAACTACCTAGCAAGATACTGTCTCAATATGTAAATACACTGCCAACAGAGGGCCCCTGACAAGACCCTCATGTCACTGCATCAAATTTGACTTTTAGAGTATCTGTAACTAAACTTCAAGGTTCCGTTATCCTGATCCAGGCAGAAATGTTTCTGAGACATTTTATACAAAGTGGAATAATACATGAATCAGTGTCATGTAAGTTATTCTAGCTAGTCTGGTTTTGTTTTGTTTTCAGTTTTTATATGCCCTACTTTGCTTCATTCCATTTCCATTCCTCTAGCCCATAGTATAGTATTTTGTGTTTATTATGTATTACTGAGTTGAGGGTGTTTGAGACAGGAACTTACTATATATAGCCCAAGCTGGCCTTAAATGCAACTGTCTTGCATCAGCCTTCTTGAGTGCTGGCATTGCAGGCTTACAGGTATGCACCACCATACCTGGCTATCATATTATTACAGGGTTAGTGTCTGTTACCTAAAATGCTTATCTAAAATGTTTCAAATTTGCAGTTTTTCAGAATATATGCATAATTTTACTAGGTTAAAAATCCCAAATTCAGAAATGTGAAGTCTGGAATGCTTCAGAATTTTGACACTTTTTGAATCCTATAATTGTTGAGTAAGGATAGCACCCATAGGCTCATTTATTTGAATGTTTATTGTCACCAGAGAGTGAAACTCCTTGAATAGATTAGAAGGATTAGGAGGTGTGGCCTTATTGGAGGAAGTGTGTGCTTTGAGGTTTCAAAAGCCCATGCCAGGTCTAGGCTCTCTCTTTCTGCCTGTGGATTATTAGTGGGTAACTGTCAACTCCTTCAGCACCATGCTGCCATCGTGCTACCCACTATGATGATAATGAATTAAGCCTCCGAAACTATAAGCAAGCCCCCAATTAAGTGCTTTCTCACAATTATAAGAGTTGCTGTGGTAATGTCTCTTCACAGCACTAGAACAGTGACTAAGACAATAGTTTGTGTTTTTTGATAGATTCCTCATTAATATTAAACTATAGTCTTTCGTGGGGCTGGAGAGTTAGGAGATAACTCAATAGTTAGGAGTATAGGCTACCCTTGACCCAGGTTCAGTTCCTAGGGCAGCTCACAACTATCCCCAGTTCTAGGGGATTCAGCTCCCTCTTCTGATGTCTGCAGGCACCAGACACACACATGGTACACATGTATATATGTAGGCAAATAAACATACAGATAAAACCAAAACATTGTTTTTTCCTTCAATTCCTTCTGGGTTGGTGACAAAAAAATTATCATCTGCTTTTAGTATAACTTTATTATTGCTGTTTTCTAGGCAGCACAGAGCTGACGGGCAGCACCAATTTAATCACACACTACAACCTGGAACAAGCCTATAATAAGTTCTGTGGGAAGAAAGTGAAGGAGAAGCTAAGTAACTTCCTGCCTGACCTGCCAGGGATGATTGATCTCCCTGGCTCCCATGACAACAGCAGCCTCCGCTCCCTCATTGAGAAGCCTCCTATTCTCAGTAGCTCTTTTAATCCAATCACAGGGACCATGCTGTCTGGTTTCCGCCTCCATACTGGCCCGGTAAGTCCCTTCTTGGGGAGGAAGAAAACAAGTGGGGAGGCCTCAAAAGCATGGAGGTAGTTTTATCTCCAAGTCTAGAAGCAGGGAGTTGCTCTCTCTGCTCACCTGAACCTTCCTTTGGTACCCTCAGTTGCCAGAGCAGTGTCGACTGATGCATATTCAGCCTCCCAAGAAGAAGAATAAGCACAAGCATAAACAGAGCAGGACCCAGGATCCAGTTCCCCCAGGTAAGCACTTTTGTTCAGACCACCAAGACTCTGGCCCAAGTCTACATGGCCTTCAGTTAAGCTTAGTTCCTCTGGACTCCCAGATTTCCCCAAGAAGAAATACATGTGTTGACATTTCTTGGACAAGCAGTGACTTAGCACAGCTGCTCTGCCAGCACCTCTATATCCTTTCTGAACACGCAGAAAAAAAGCAGTTCCCCTGGTATTAGGTTTTCCTGTAGCCTTAAGAGTTCATAGCAGTAGATCTTTTTTTTTTTTTTTTTTTTTTTTAAACATATATTTATCATGTATACAGGGCATGCCAGAAGAGGGCACCAGATCCCATTACAGATGGTTGTGAGCCATCTGGAATTGAACTCAAGACCTCTGGAAGAAGTCAGTGCTCGTAACCCCTGAGCCATCTCTGCAGCCCATAGCAGTAGATCTTAAACTCAAATCAAACTTAAGGTTATAAGCTCTTAATGTCTCCTACAGAAACGCCATCTGATTCAGATCACAAAAAGAAGAAAAAGAAAAAAGAAGAGGATCCTGAACGGAAAAGGAAGAAGAAAGAGAAGAAAAAGAAGAAGGTAGAGGGTTGTTGTAGTAACTGGTTTTTTGTTTTAATTTATGTATATGTGTTTCTCTACACTAGTGCAATGCCCACAGAGACCAGAAAAGAGCTTCGGCCATGGAGCTGTATCACTACCACTCTATGTAGTGCTGGGAACTGTACTGGGGTTTTCTACAAGACAGTACGTGCTCATAACCAGAGCCATCTCTCCAGCCCCCATCTCACCCTTCTTAAATAGAATCCTTTGCCTCAAGTTGGACCCAAGAGCAGGGCAAATCCAGGGCAAACATTTTTCTTTTACAATCCTGGCCAAAGCTAGTTCTTTGACTTTGACTCTTTTCCTTTGAGGTAGTGTCTTAACATTGAGCCATATCTAGTCTCCTTTTAAAAATTTTATTTTGCTTATTTTTGTTTATTTTTGGTTTTGCGAGGCAGGGTGTCTCTGTGTAGTTTTGGTTCCTGTCCTGGAACTTGCTCTTGTAAACCAGACTGGTCTCAACTCATAGAGTGCTGGGATTAAAGGAATGCGCACCACCTGGCTTATTTTGCTTGTTTATTGATAATTTTTGAGACAGTTTCACTGAGTTGCCCAGGCAGGCCTTGAATTTGCAGTCCTCCTAACTCTACCTCCAAAGCAACTGAGATTACAAATCTATGTTAGCAGGCTCCATAGGTTTACTTAGGTTTTTTTTGTTGTTTTGAGACAATGGCTTGAGATGTAGCTTTGGCTGGCCTGGAATTCACTATATAGACTAGGCTGGCTTCTACCCCAGAAGATCTGCTTGCCTCTGCCTCTCTGTAGAGGGCTGGGATCAAAGGCATGTACCATATCCAGCAAGGTCATCTTTTAATTTCTAAATGTTCTTATTCCTTTTGTCTCCTCTAGAACCGACATAGTCCAGACCACCCAGGTATGGGAAGTTCCCAGGCCAGCAGCAGCAGCAGCCTCCGCTAACAGGACTACTGAACTCTGCCAAGGATGGCTTTCCTGCTGACAAACTGTCTTCCAGGCATTGCCTTGGGATATCTAACAACTAGACAGAAGCCAGCCCCTGCTGTACTTGTGACTAATACACTTTTAGAGAAGGGCCATGCTTTTTTATGGTTTAGTCCAGTTGGCTTTTTCATAGACATACCTTTTCACAAAAAGCTGTTTTTTGTTTTTTTGTCCCCCCACTTTTGTGTAATTTGATTTCAGGAGTTCATTTGTTAGGGTTTTTCTTTTTTTTAAAAAAAAAAAAAAAAAAAAGGTGTCTTTAACAGACTGGCTAGTATGGCTACCTTTTTAAGAGGCAAGTGTCATTCTGTATGAGGCAGTTTAAGATAAGGCACTGCTAAGACATAAAAGATTTTAGATTTTGTCATCACATTATTTCCCTAGGCCAAGAAATTCAAAATTAGAGCAGAGAACATGGTCAAAAATCAACAGTTTGCTATAATATTTTGCCTATAATGTTCACTGCCAAGTGCCTAGATTATATTCAACCCATCAGGAAAGTTAGCCAAAGTAAGGTTTATGCCTGTGTTGATATATAGCAGGGACTATTAAAAAAAAAACCTCCCACCATTACCACTGTATTTTAGCAGGAGGAAAAAAAGCCTGGCCAGGCGTTGGTGGTGGCACACGCCTTTAATCCCAGCACTCGAGAGGCAGAGGCAGGAGGATCTCTGAGTTCAAAGCCAGCCTAGTCTACAGAGTGAGCTCCAGGATAGGCTCCAGCTAGCCAAGCTTATCTTTTCCCTTGTCTTTTTTTCCTGTGTGCTTTTTAAATGAATCTCTGGCAAGAAGTATAATGCTTCTCTTATTCTTTAGTTTAAGAAAAAATGGATTTAGTTGTTTGGGAAAAACAAAGTTTTTGGTTTGTTTTCTGGAACAGCATCTTACCATGTAACCCTGTCAGGCAGACTATTCGGGAACACAAGCTCAAGAGACCCACCTGCCTCTACCTCCCAAGTTCTGGGATCAAAGGCTGGCTTTTGATTTACTTTTGCTGGGCGGTGGTGGCACACACCTTTGATCCCAGCACTCAGGAGGCAGAGGCAGGCGGATCTCTCTGAGTTCGAGACCAGCCTGGTCTAAGAGCTAGTTCCAGGGCAGCCTCCAAAGCCACAGAGGAGCCCTGTCTCAAAAAACCCAAATAATAATAATTTACTTTAATGTGCATTAGTGTTTTGCCTGCATGTATGTCTGTGTGAGGGTGTCAGATCTTGGAGTTACAGATAGTTGAGAACTGCCATGTGGGTACTAGGAATTGAACCTGGGTCCTCTGGGATAGCAGTTAGTGCTTTTAACTGCTAAGCCATCTCTCCAGCCTCTACTTTCTAAAGAGGAAATAACACCAGTTCTCTAATATTTCAAAGACAGAAGTTTTTGTTATGAAAAGTTAGGTTTCTCTCACCTAGTAGGACATTTAATTTGACAGCCAGAAAAAAAGTAGACCAGAGAATGAGGCTTTCCTCTTGACTTCCCACAAGACCATTCACCTTGCCTTAACCAGATAAAACACAAGTCAGGGGGAGCTGGTTAGATCAGGATTTATTTTATTCTTTGTTGGTTTAAAATGGCTAATCAGAATAAAAAAATTAAAGGGTCTCTGTATAGAGGCTGGGGTCTTCCCTGTTTAAAGGTTAGAATCCAGCTACCCCCTCTACCCAGCACCATATTGAGGTGGGCTAAGGGGTAAACCCCAGGGGACAATTGGAGGGGCCTAGGTCTGCCACTCCTTCTCTCTATCCCATTTTTGGCATATGATGAAAAATATTGCTTTTTGGATTCTTCTCTTCTGGCCTTGGATTTTTAAGATCATTTTAACTGTAAGTAATAGGGAAGCATTGAAGAGGTCCACTAAGCCCACCACAATCCCTATCACCCAAAAATGGGGGGAGGGAGGTTGCCTGATGTTTTGTAAAGTAGATCAAGTTCTTTTCCTGATCTCCCACCACTATCATGAAACTGTGACCCCTTTCCTGGGAAAAGGATGTCAATGAGCCTAGAAAACTCTGCAAGTTCCTTTATCTGACCAAGAACCCCAGACTTACCCAGGTTTCTTTCCTAATCACTTAGCACCAGCAGAGGGTGCTATTTCCTTAGTTGATAACTGGGACAAAAGAGAGGGAACCATGGGGAAAAGGAAGACTTTAATGTCTCTTTTTCCTGCTGGTCTAAGGAAAGGGAAGAATAAAATCCCCCTCCTTATATATATATCTATATATCCCTCCCTTGTTTTCCCATCCCAGGATAGATATATAATTTCTTTGATATTTATAATATATATATATGTACACACACACCTGGTAACGGAGAAGAGGAAAAAAATAGAATCCGTAACAATAATAAAAAAAATTATTTCTGGTTTAAAAATGATCTGGTTCCCTCCAGGGTGAGCAATTGCACAAATGTCCACTGAGTCTGGTCCAGGGATCAAAGAAGGGAAGGTCTTATAAATCAAAGGGGGGGATTGCCACCCCTGACTCAGGGCCCCAACTCTCAACCCCATGGCATTTTGTAAAACAAGCCTCATCCTCTTGGAATCGGTAGTTTAAAAATGTCCATGCAAAGTAAGGGAGCCCCTTGAGGGAAAGAAGGTGGCCACCTGAGGCCCTTTGGTGTAGGTGTAGAGGTGTGGGGGAGGGGAGGTGCCAAGATTCACACAGAAATCTCATAAGTGGTACCACCCACGCCTGACACCTTCTTGACTCCTCCCCTTGTGGGACTACTGAGAGGTGGCTGGCCTGGGCCAGGGGAAGCTGAGCCTATACTCTTGGGCTGCCCATTGGATTTGCTGTAGGTGGTCTTGAGCTGTACTTCATCTCTGGGGGAAAAAGAAACAGACATCAGGAAAAGATGCACAATGCACAAAACACAAGCATACACAAAAAGGGTCTAATATAAGGGGGTGGACATTTCCATATATTTTCTTACCTAAACAGTCCCTGTTACTTTACTGACATGCTTAAAATAAGACTGATTCTTTCTCCCAATTTATTCCTAGCCTCAGCTCTCATATAATAGTGTTTGTCAAATAAAACTTTCAGGAAGATAGTATTAAGGGCATTACCACTCTTCAGTCTCTTAAGAGGAGACATTCATAAAGGCAATCAAATATGAAACAGTTCTCAAGATTCCCAGGGTCTACCTATACTAGAATCATGTACAGCCGAAGACTCGGTACCTTCTGCTAATTACATTGAAGGGAAGAGGAAAAGACAAATACTTACTTGGGTGTCAATAATGGCTGCAATGCCACTTCCTCTGTCTCAGAGACACCAGGTGGGGCTTTTTGGCTGCTATAAGACATTGATCGGCCCAGGTAGGGGGCAGTTGGGCCTGGTTCAGGGGACCCCAGTCCCCGGCCCCTTAGCCCATCTGGTTTGCCAAAACGGGGGACAGCTGGGCGTCCCAGAGGAGTCTTGCTCAAGGGTGATCTCTTTGAATCGTCTGAAGAGGAACTAGTACGAGGGGCATGGCCTGAGCCTGGTGTTGACTGAATGCCTGAGTCTCCCAAGCCTGGTTCTTCCTCACGGCCTGCAAGTGGAGGTGACTGTCGTAGCAGCTTCTCTCGTTCCTGGAGGGAGGCCACAATGTGGCGAGACAGATTGTCATAGCGGACTGGCGAGGGCTCTCGGTGTGGTGGGCCGGTTGGCACCAAACGTGGGTGCCTCTCGGCTTCCCGTTGCTGGGCCAGCCGGGCTGACAGGAAGGGAGAGGTATAGCCTAAAGGTGGGTCTGGCTCAGGCCCTGCCTGTACTGACTCAAAATCAGGGCTGTCTGAAGGAGTGAGTAGGCTGTCATAAGATAGACTTCCATTGCGTGTCTGATTGGCCAGACTCTTATAGGAGGTGGAGGTGGTACCCTCTGAACGAATGGACTGCAACTGGCCCAACTCAAAGCCCGTGCCCTGGGCTGACTTGAGGCTGGAGGATCGTGAGCCACTGGACAATGGATCAAAGTGAAAGCTTTTTCCAAAAGTGGGAGATCGGAAGCTTTCTGGCTCCAAGCTGGGCTCTGAGCGGTAGCTGGGATGGCGGCTACTATCTGCAATTGAGGTTGGTTCCTTCAAGCTATCTCCACGACTCAGCTGTGGAAAAAGAATAAAAGTTTTAGCACTCCTTTTGACAGCTGCCAGATATCAGAGCCCAAAGAGACACTGAAGAACAGAATTGCATGCCAGTATACTTCAAACTTGGACATCATATGGCTGGCCTTTAACACAAAGCTGTGACTTGAAACAAATACCTCATTTTAAGATGCTGGAAATGAGGCTTACAGAGACTAACTTGGCAGAAGTGGTTTCTAAAATCAGATTTGACATTAATTAGTGGTTTTATCTAGAATTCGTCACTGCTCCTTTTTTGATGAAAAACACATCAAGGAAATTCCATTAAAGCCAATAATCAGTAAAATGCCCTTGGTTTTTATGTTCCCCACTCCTTTCCTCAAGATCTAGCATAGGTTATGACCCCACTTCTTAAGAGTATAGAGTACCTTGGCACTGGAGGAATGAGGCATGGCGGCTGATGTACTGCTGCTGCTGTAACCTGGTCGATATTTATACATGGTAGGGGTAGGGGGGCTGTCCTTGCCCAAGAGACTGCTATCTATGGGGGGAAACCCAGAGAGCAATACTTTAGAAATTGATTCTTTTAACTGTCATGGGGTTACTGAAAGTACAGGGAAAGGACATGGTAAAATCAGGTATACCCAATAAAAGTAAAGTCTAGGGATCAAGATTTTGCTGAAATTTAAGTTTAAAGACTCAGCTGGGCCTGGTCTTTAGATACAGGCCTACAGTCAGCTACTCAGAAGGTTGTAACAGGAACACAAGTGGTGGGCAGACATACACATGCAGGCCAAACACTCTATCATATAATAAAAAATAAGGCCAGGAGTGGAAGTGCACATCTTTAATCCCAACACTTAACAGAGACAGGCAAACTTCTGTGAGTTCAACAGTCTTGGCTATATAGTTCTTGTTTCTTTCCTTTTTTTTGTTTTGTTTTTTTGAGACAGGATTTCTCTGTGTAGCCCTGGCTGCCCTGGAACTCACTTTGTAGAACAGGCTGGCCTTGAACTCAGAGATCCACCTACTTCTGCTTCCTGAGTGCTGGGATAAAGACATGCACCACTGGGTGGGGGGAGGGGTATTTTTTTTTTTTTAAAGACCAAGGATCTATGCTCGTTTCAAAACTTGTGGTGGCAAATGCACCAAACACACTAAGAAATTCCCTGATTCAGACAGACTCATATCAAGTAAAAGCACTTGCCACAAAAGCCTGACGACCTGAGTTCAATCCCCAGAATCCACAGTGGAAGGAAGGAACCAATTCCTGGAGGTTAACACACAGACACACACACACCATGCACATACACAATATAAAATTGTAAAACGTGCCAGGCGTTGGTGGTGCACGCCTTTAATCCCAGCACTCAGGAGGCAAAGGCAGGTGGATCTCTGTGAGGCCAGCCTGGTCTCCAGAGTGAGTGCCAGGATAGGCTCCAAAGCTACACAGAGAAACCCTGTCTCAAAAAACAAACAAACAAAAAATTGTAAAAAGTAAATCTCTGGAAAGTCCAAATCACTGTCTATTGCTAACGGGCAGCCCTCTTTTTAGCTATCCATAGATAACTCCATTTACTGGGTGTTATTTCAAGTATTACCTCCCAGCCCTTGCTCATCCTCTCTACAGCTTACATGACCTTGTCCCTGTCTTCTATTGCTAGGCTCTCACATATCAAGACAGCCCTTACCCTCATTGGTAGCCAGGCTGAGGTGTGTTCGAAGCCCTGTGTA